GCTTTTTTTACGAGTAAAACATACAACATTTCACTCGTCAGTGTTTCCCTTGTGCATTAAAGCTCGTGTTTTTCGCATACCCAGTGTTGTAAACGTTGTATAATCATTTTGTAATACTTTGGTAATAATTGATTTGTAGGGTTTAACGTCCCAAGACCACCATATGATTAAGAGAGACGCCGTAGTGGAGGGCTCCGGAAATTTTGACCACCTGGGGTTCTTTAACGTGCACCCAAATCTGAGCACAAGGGCCTCGACATTTCCGCCTCCATCGGAAATGCAGCCGCCGCAGCCGGGATTTGAACCCGCGGCCGTAATACTTTGGTAGCCGTTTAGCAACGTGTGCATTGTTTCATGATTGACCGCACGCTGTTTTCTTTTGTTTTTTGTTGTTTTTCTCTCTATGTGGTTTGCTTATTTTATGTAAACCTGAAACTAATGTAATTTTGATGCATTTTCTTTTTATTTCCTAATTTATTGAAGTTTTGAAAATCGACGTCAAATTGTTTTTTCATGTTTTGTGCTCTGCTGATTTTGTAATGCCAAGTGAAAAGGGGTAGGAGCCTCGTCAAGCTGCTAATATAGCAGCTTTTTGCTCCTATCCTTGCGTTTTCGTTTTCGCAACTCTGTGAAGAAAATGCTCAATAAAACTGAAACTGAAACTGAAATTGTTCAGTATTTTTTTATTACCGGAAGGGGCTTTCTGCAAACAGTGTTCAAAACACGGGTGGGGTACTCATCTGCTTAAAGCATATTTGTCTGATCTTGAAAGCGGGACAGACCTTGTGCGTACATAAACGGAACAACAATGACTGTAGGCAAAAAAGGCTAATATTTTTAATACTTTCGAGTGGGCGGAAGGTATTAGGAGTACATTCTACAAATACTATGCAACGGGACGATCATGTACGCTTGGTACTCCAAAAACTTGCCGTATAGCAGGTGTTTTAAAAAGTTCCCCATACAGTTCACTACTCGTGTAAATTAGTATTTTACGATGCTTTATTTTATCTCAGATTCATTCTGGGCACCTAGTATGGTGCACCACAACTCATTTTAACTTGAATGAACTATTTTGTATGCAGAAAAAATAGTACGCATCGTCGGTTATGTACCACCTCTGGTTGATACCAAAAACGTTTTTTTTTTAGAAACACAACATACCTAAAGTTCATACTATCTACAAAACTAGAGTGTTGCGTGAATATTATTTTAGTGCTTAATACAACACAACCTTATTGAAATAACTTGAAATGCTATCTGGCAAGTTATCTTGTTATAGCACTCGTACTTCAGAGTTGTGGAAGCTTCCGCACTGTAGAACGAATCATGGTTACCAAGTGCTATCTAACAATCTCCTTAGACTTCTAAACACATACAACAAATCAGGCTATTATTTACTGCATATATCGTTGCCAGAAGTTAAAATTGTTTTGAGCTGTCCCCTCTAGAGTGTTTCCAGGAAGATATTATAGTGTTATAAGCTTTTTTTAATTTTTCTTGTTGATGAAGTACACGCCTATTATGTTCCTCCTTTTGTCTGAGTAATGTATTCGACTTTGCATAGAAATATTTTTGTTTTCTTGGCCTATGTACTCATTTCAAGCCTTCAATACCTTATAGTGCCTGTTTAAGTGTAATATACAAGTGTAGTATTTACCCTACCAAACGTAGCCATACTGATCTAAGGGTATGAGGTCTCCCTAAAACAGCGTTTGTACAGCTTTTCTCCTTCACCCATCTCCATTTAACATCACGTCTTATATGTGTGTAAATGCAAAACAGTAAATCAAATCAAATCCAATTCAGAAATGGTTTTTTGGCTCGTGGACTGTGCCGCCAGCACACTTTTTGAGTCTTGAACAACAACTTGATGTCCAAAAACTGTAGCGAAATCGATAGTGAACTTCGGCCCGCAGAAATTCTTTTTACACCTTGAGTGCATTAATGACATTCTGGAGATAGGTAACCTTGCTTACGAGCACGTAATCGTCAACATAAAGAAAAACGTGTTCCGCAGTCCCTGCTAAATGTTCCAACACTTTTCTATCAACGCGGCTGAGGAAAATGTAACTGAGTGCGGGTGCTTCAGCTGATCTAATACACGCACCACTCTTTTTTCACATAAAAGTCCTTGCCAAAGCCTACTACCGTAGACTGTAGACAAATCATTATCAGTTCCAAAAATGACTCCACAGTCAATCCGCAGTTGGACTGGAAGCCTGACTTGATACTATCTTGCGTGGCGCACACGTTTACGCTTTCTAATAGTTCACTGTGTGGAATCGAATAGTAGAGGCCCTGCTCGCCGACGCTCACCGCATACAAGGTTGACGAGTTATCATTGCGAAATAAATCAACTAAGACTTGAGAGTTACGGATATGGTAAGGATCACTAATGTTCAAGACATATAACTGTCTTTGTAGAAACCGGAAAACCACTTCCAACCACGTGCCTTTCGTTTAGAAACTATCACCCGGAAAATAACGCCAATTATGTGCATTTTGGGGCCAAAAAGATGCCCCGCTGAATTTATAGTGCCTTCTTAACACTTGCTGCAATTGCGTCCAAATCCAGACTGGACATTAGGCGCAGCGCATTTTTCTTTACTTTAGCAGACTGGACCGTAACTTTTTCAAATGACTCGCAATGGCTACTTCGGCTTCTTTTGCGAAAACGCTTTCCCGCAGCACAACATAGTGATCATCCTTATCTGATGGAGTTGACCTCAGTTTTCTTTCAGCAAGAACAGCGAAAAGTGGTCGAACACAAACACGGCTTTCATAACGAATGCTTGACTGAGCCACTACATCAACGCATTCTGACGAGCACCTCGGGCGTTAAACTTCTAAGTTTCTTGACACCTGCTGGCACAACGCGAGCTTGTTTACAGGAGACGCTGACACTTCAAGTGCGAAATTTACCCCTCGTTGAAGTAACTATATGCTGATCAGGAATGTCATGTTCACATAACGCGTATACCATTTGTTCGGTATCTTCTGTCCTTTTTGTTCTTTCTGTGCAGTCCGATGAGGACAGACTTACACAGTGCCTCAGTGCTTCTGTCAACTATTCGGCACTTTTCCTTGTACCTGATGTGTCTGTTACTCGAACTTTGTCATCAAGCTCAAGCTGCTTTCAGCATATCCTTGTCGCAACGGATTTGGCACCACAATTCAAAGCTTAGAAAGCTGCAAATTCGACGGGCGTGGCCACTTGAGGGTTCCAGGCTTCCGAGAGGACCACAGACTTCTGGGGGACATTTATCCAACTTCTTTCACAATGATGCCATCCTCGCTTTAAATACGCTAACTGAAATTAGTGAAATCACCGTGGCGGGGTTAGCTATATAAAGATTAGCACACTGTGAAGAGCCCTGTGCAAAAGAAATATGCAGCAAGAGTACTTAAAGTTGGGCCAGTTGGTACTGATTTCTAGCTAAAACTTGTGCAACAAAAAACATTGTCAAGAAAAGACAAACAGCACGGCCGCAAACTCGTAACTTATTTATTGAAAACAACAAATGCGCTTTTATCTTCAAGTCTAATAAACGCCCCCCCCCTCAAGGTGGTTCTAAACACCAACGAGATAAAAAAGGATATCTGTTCACACTAGATCACGAAAATGCCACACTAACACCCAATTTTGAGGCTGACGTGTACGCAACTGTAGAAGGGTTCACACGTGCCTTTTGGGAAGCCTACGCGCGAATTTCACGTGACTTTCAATAGAGCACTCAAGCAACTTTAAAAGTTGTGCCCACAAGTTCGAAAGACGGCGGAGTCTAGCACCACCCAGAGAAGAAACAGTCCGGTTAACGCATAGCAAACGTTACCGCACCTGTAAAACAAAAGTATTATGTCGGGTTTCCCAATTTTGCGGCAGTTCTTTTCTTGAGCAATATTAAAGGTGTATGAACACCAGGTTCAAGGAGCACGACTTCGCATACGCAGTCGAGCACAAACACATCTGGTGGATCGTTGCAGGTCTTGTGGGTGCATGACCTTTTTTTTGCAGACACATAAATTTATCAATATACAGGGAGAAAATAGGACGGGAGATAACTGAAGGCTTCCATTTAAAAATATGGGATATAAGCGTGAAGTAGAAGCATCAGTCGCAATGTCTAATGAAGATTTCGTTTTCTTGAGAGGTACGTGTAGGTATCTTTCTGCAATTTCATAGACGTCAGCCTCAAATTTTGGTGTTAGTGGGCTGTTTTTATGTTGTAGTATGAACAGATATCTTTAGTTTTATCTCGTAGGTGTTCAGGACAAACCTTGGGAGTGCATTTATTAGTCTTGAAGGTAAACACGCATTTGTTGTTTTCAGTAAACCAGTTGCGAGTTTGCGCGCGCCCGTGGTGTCTTTCTCTTCTCGTCCGCGTTTTCTGTTGTGCAAGCTTTAGTTAAGAATCATTACAAACTCGCCCAACTTTCAGTGCTTTTGAACAAACCACAAAGCAATAATTTGTCGTGCCGAATCAGACTAGCAACCTCTCCACGCAAAAATAATTTTGACAATTCGAGCTTGTAGCGTGTGTACTTGTGCGCTTGTTTCGTTCGTCTTTCTTAGTGTTTAAGGAGCGCGCTTGAAGGGTCGAGCTGAGACAGTTCGTAGTCCACGCTTGTCCTATGTATGCTACTCGTGCGTGCTTTCTACCGGAGGACCGCACTGCAAGTTTCGAGCTAGGCGGAAATGTTGAAGGCCCGTGTGCTTAGATTTGGGTGCACGTTAAGGAACCCCATGTGGGCGAAATTTCCGGAGCCCTCCTCTACGGTGTCTCTCATAGTCATATGGTTGTTTTGAGATACTAAACTCCCCATATCAATCAATCAAGTTTCGAGCTCCTTGCCATTCTTAACGCGATTTCCCAATTATTGCTACTGCTGAGAAAATGCACAATAAATGTTCAACTACCTCTGTACAGACACGTTTCAATTTTGTATGAAATTGATTGCTGCGTTCAGCCATGTTTCTTTTTGTCTTTTCTGCTAAGGTTCTACACAAAAGAGGACCCCACCGCAAGGCCCTGCACCGCCACCTGCCGGAAAGTCTTTCTTTGCAAGCAGCGCACATCAAAGTCGGCTGACTTGAACAAATGTCGATAACACCTTTCTGTGTGTCTGATAAATATTTGCACAACGACAAGCTTACTCAGCTTTTTGCCTTATACCGTTTTACTAGCTAAGCCATGTTTGCATTTGGCGACAACCACCATAAATATTGCATGAAATTTGTTCAATTATATGAAAGAATAATTAGCGCTTACTTGCAGTTAGACCAGTAGCATCACTTTTATCTTTGCAACTTGTGTTTCATGGTATTTCATGAGGCTATAAGGAGAAAAAAGGCCTACAGTATAACTAACTGAGGTGGTCAGTTATAGCACCAACTGTGTTTCCTATCACCAATCAAGTTTTCACGTATTCTGTTACGACGTTCACTGTAATAAGTGAGACCCAGCGACATTACTCCTTTGTGTACAGACGCACTCAGTCACCTACAGCTTCAATACTGCTGCAATGAAGAGAACAAATAAAACTTGTGAAAAATGCCAAAATGATTGCTGCTTGCTCTTCTTTATCTTTTGCCCTACGGCTGCAACCTGTATCGCTCGAACCTTACCGCTATCCAAGAAATGTGCTCACTTTTTAGCCACACCTAATAAGCGATTCTTTTGAAGCAGACTACACAATTTAACGGCATGTCTGACAAGATGTGTCACATGCATCATTCACCCGCATAAATTTGTTTGAAATCATCAGGCGATAAGCTATATGGGATGGTTGGTTTAAAGTAAAACGTTGGTTTTAAGTAAAACGTTGAGCGCAAATAAATGACGTGGGACCAACAAAGACAAACACACACTGGAGTGCTTGTTGTGTGTGTTTTTTTTTTCTTGACCCCGTGTCGTTTATTTACACCTAATATTCTACGTATTTGACAAGTTTTATTTGCCATGAACTGTGCAAACTGATGAGTTATTGCAAGGGCATTCCGTAAGGAAATCCTCGGTTTTTGATGCACTTCAAATATCTAAGTATTTACACGTCAGTAGTACCCTATGATGCATTTTGATTCTTTGAGCCTTGAATTTTTCAACTGGTATACATTTTTATTTCTCGTTGGTTTGTAGATACTACAACCTGAAGAACAGGAAAATATTTTTTTCTGAGCATCCCGTCAGTGCACGATATAAATGGCTCTAGTGCTCTAAAGTGCTCTAAAGTGCTCTAAAGTGCTCTAGTGCTCTAAAGCTCTAGTGCCTGACTCCAGAATGCGCTGCTACTCAAACCAGTGACTCCGAAAACCTGCGAGAAACGATCCGAGTGATCGTGCGGGAAGAGCTGCGCAAACTGTTGCCTTCGGCGCACCCTCAAGTGGATTCGATCGCCGACATTGTGCGAGAAGAAGTTCGGTAATCACTTCGAATTCCCAAAACACCGCTGCCCGAGCCAGAAACTATGAGCTACGCCGCTGCAGTGCGCCACAACGCTCCTCCCCGTCCACGCCAAAACACCGCCCCGTCGCACTTCCGCCGCCACCACCCCCACCGACGACCTACCGTTCCCCAGCGAGCCAGCGCAGTGCGCCGAGGAAAACCGACGTTTGGCGCACCCCTGACCACCGCCCACTGTGCTACCACTGCGGCGAGGCCGGGCACACTTACCGCCGTTGTCAGTACCGACAGATGAGACTGCGTGGCTTCGCCGTCGATGCACCACGTCCGCAGCCAGGGGAACGGCCACGTGACATCGCCGACTACCTGACAGGAACTCAATGGACACCCCGAAGTCCTTCCCGTTCGCCGTCGCCCAGCCGCCGCATGTCACCGCACCCCCGGCAGTACTCCGGCCCAACGAAGGGCCGGTCTCCTAGCCCGTATCCGGGAAACTAAGGGCAGCAACCGGTGGAGGTGCGGTTGCTGTGCGACGAACTACCGGAGATCCTCCGACGATGACGACGCCGCGACGGAGCTTTCCGAACACAATGCCAACCAGGCAAAGCCCTGACGGTGAAAGCTCACTTACCGAAGGTGGCCTGACGAGGCAACATGGAAGCAGCGGAACAAGCCGACGCAGCCGTGACCCGACGCCACGCCCTAACTGTAATGCGAGGCGGCGAACTAGCGACCTCGACGTTCTTATCGACGGCCACAGTGTGACCGCTCTCGTCGATACTGGAGCCGACTATTCTGTCATCAGTGGGTCGTTCGCCGCGAAGCTAAAGAAAGTTAAGACAGCTTGGAAAGGCCCTGAAATCCGCACAGCCGAAGGTCATCTCGTAACGCCTGCAGGAATCTGCACAGCGAGAGTCACCATTAACGCCCGTATTTATCCTACAAACTTCGTAGTCCTACAGCGTTGCTCGACAGATGTCATCCTTGGCATGGACTTCTTATGTCTCCATGGTGCTCTCATTAACCTAAAAACACAGTCCATAACGTTATCCACAGAAGAAGCACTACCGCCGCGCACGCCGTCAGGACATCATGCCTTGAATGTGCTGGAAGAACAAGTCACCATTTCGCCTCGCTTAAGCGTCATTATTTCAGTCGGCGCTCCTAAATCACCTGACTTGGAAGGCGTCATTGAAGGCAGTCAGCATCTGTTGGTCACCCGAAATATTTGCGTCACAAGAGGAATTGCAGAGCTGCGGGGAGGCAAAGCAATGGTTATGCTCACGAATTTCAGCAATGAGTACAAACATGTGAACAAAGGAACAACGGTCACATAGATCGAAGAAATTGTTGAAGCCACCAGTGCTTTCGCCCTCGCCGACTCTGCAGAACCTGCTCAGAGGAACCAAGCCTCTCCCATAGCTTTCGACGTCAATCCCAGGATTCCGAACCATCAGCAAAAACAGCTCAAGGCCCTGCTGCTGCAATACGAAGATTGCTTTTCGTCGTCATCGAAAATTCGGCAGACCCCAATCACGAAACATCGCATCATAACCGATGAAAATGCCAGACCACTCCGTCAGTGTCCGTACAGGGTTTCGACGCGAGAACGTTAGGCCATGAAGAGACAAGTTGATGAAATGCTGCGGGATGACATTATCCAGCCGTCCAAGAGTCCATGGGCATCCCCCGTGGTGTTAGTGAGAAAAAAGGATGGGACCCTACGTTTCTGCGTCGATTATCGCCGCCTGAACAAAATCACAAGAAAGGACGTGTATCCTCTCCCACGAATAGACGACGCACTTGATTGGCTCCATAACGCCAAGTACTTCTCGTCAATGGACCTCAAGACTGGCTATTGGCAAATCGAAGTCGACGAAAGAGACCGAGAGAAGACGGCGTTTATAACACCGGACGGCCTCTTCGAGTTTAAGGTGATGCCCTTCGGCCTTTACCCAGCACCTCCACCAGATGTCATGGGGTCGTGACGTGGCCGATTACAGGAGACTTCGTGTTGGGATTTAACTGTTTATTTGGGCGAACCTGTGCCCGGTAAACGGAAAGTCCAATTACAGCAGCAGTCTCGCACAGATAGCAGTCTCGGACTGATAGCAGCGAACGAAGCGTCGGCCTTCGATCGACTACTCGCAAGCGGCGAAGCGCGTCGGCATTTATACTCTTGCCGTCGAATGTTCTAGCGTTAACGCTGGCGGTGGCGTAGGTTCCAGAATAATCTGTACCGTTCGCACAGTTGGCGTGATCTTATCGAAATGATCTGCTACAGTCCGGAACCTTCTCGAAAACTGCAGGCGCGGTTTGCGCTGAAAATCGTGTGGTGTTTTGGGACGATAACAAAAACTTGGGAAATGAAACGTGGCTATAATCTATATATAGGGCACTAGAGCTTAGGGGTTGCAAAGTGAAATATTGGGAATATAAATACACATTTATTTACACTGTTAACCTTGTGAAATAAAACACAGCAATTACGTAATACTTAGGGCGTCCTAACTGTCCAATAGCAAGTCTTCGTGCTCGTGATACACAGCTACTCATTCCAATTGAATGGCCACCGTCTACTTATTAACAAATTTGGAAGATCCGAAATCATAAAGAAATGCCGAATCCTGCTTTCCAGCGCCAAAATCATCTCCGCCCATATTTGCTGATGCTGATGCTCATAACCTCAGAGGAATGGCGCTCAATCACATAGGGGAATGGGCCAAGAACTGGGCAGCAGAATACTTCAATGAAAATAAAATGAAATAAAGCCAATTCGAAAAACTTGTTTAGAGATAATACTGTCAATAAAGAAAAATGTTTGCTGAGCAAGCAGTCAAACAATCTCTTGTTCCTGGCAGACATTGCTACGAATTATAAACTGAAGATCTGAAAAGGTTAGGGTTCACTAGATCGGTAATCTTTTAGTTGCATTGATGTAATCAAGAACAGTTGAGGATATATCCCTGTGGCCATAACCATATGAAGTGCTGCCAAGTGCTATTGGTACTGGTAGATTCAATTGTATTCCAAGCTTTTGTAATGAGGCTACTAAAATCATTTCTTTGATAACAGTAACGACGACAGAATAAAAAGAAATGTTCAATTGTTTCAATTTCATTGAAAAAATGCACAGCGGTGACGCCTTCATTTGAGCTTTGTTAAGGTAATAATTTAGTTGTGGAATTGCACAAATATATAAATGCAGATGATATTGCGTTTTTCGCATCTGACTGTGATATTCACTTTTTACATTCGACTGTACAGTTTTATTTGGCATCATTGAAAACCTGGTTTCAGAAAATTAGTATTATTCTGAACGTACCTAAAAGTGCGATTATTTTTTTCATTAGACGTACCAGTTACTATTTCTCTTCAGTACCATCAAGAAATAATTTCCCAAGTTAACTTGTATTAAATATCTGGGTGTATTGTACGATCAGAAACTGAGCTTCCGTGATCACATTTAACATATTAAAATTAAGGCTACACGCATTGTTGGGATGATAGGTAGGCTTGGCCATCTCCGTTACGGTCTTCGCAGAGATACGCTGATCATGATTGATCGCATGTACGTTCGTCCGATTCTTGAATTTGAATGTTTACTATTCTCTGGTGAACCAGCATACAAAATAAACCCTTGGTTCTTTTAGAGCCGGAAGCTCTTCGAAGTTGTTTAGGTGTGCCAAAATTCACAGCTAACAATGCTTTGTATCAAGACGCTCGGATACCCACTCTTGCTTGCAGATTTTGTATTTAAACAACTAAAGCCTATTTATATTTTCTGAATTCATTTTAAGAAGGCGACAGTTTGTGTTCTTTGCCGAAACCGGTATCTTTTTCAATGAGCATTGGTCCCATGTATATAAAACGCAAGTGCAATTTGTTCAAACACTTCTAGATGCTTTAAGTGCTAATATATTCGAGATCACACCATCTGACACTTGCCCTCTAAATACTTGATCGGCTTTTTTAGAACACCTGTCTCAATCAGGTACTAATATAGTAATTGAAATGGATGCATCTATGAGGGGCGAGAAGGCATGTGTGGATATTTTTCTGGTCATTTTCATTACGCCTGCCAGAATATACAACAATATTTGAAGCAGAATTAACGGCCGTTATATCAGCTCTTCGTAAACTTCCTGTGACTCATTCGA